ACCTGCAGTCAGAGATGGCACCTGACCTGTGCCTTGAAGAAAGCCTGAGAAAGTATGTGGTACAGTGGAAAGAACATTGAACATTGACCCAGTTGTGGTATAGAATAGATATCATATAGAACTCTTAAGAGAGAAGAAGAAGGACAGACCAAAGATATGAACCAGGGTAAACACAAATTCAAAACCTATGTTGGTATGAATCAGACAATCTAATAAACATCTTAGTATGAAGTAGCCGAGTACGATCCACAAAAGAATTTTGGAGGCACTAATGGACTTCTAAATTACATAAATTGTAAAGAAGACAGTGTTCTTAATGAACTAAAAATCATGGGTCATAGCTGGGTGGTTTTATTATTATTATTATTATTATTATTATTATCCTTATATGAAATATCAACAGGCTGGCTTTTCTCTTCCAGTTAGCATACTTTGGGGTCACTTCTCCCACCATCAACTAGTATGTATTCAGAGAATACATACTAATTTCAATATTACCCTAAGCAAAGCTTTACCCTAAGTAAGTCTGTTGGGGATTTGGAGACAGAATATTGTTCTAAAGCCCATTGTAAATGAATGTTGAAATTATCTGGTGTTCATAAGCAAATTAGAAGAGCAAAGAATAGTCTACCTGTAAGATCTGTGGGGAGGGGAAGAATTCATGAGCAAACAAGATAGAGAGCATTACAAAATGTAAAATAGATAATTTTGATTATATTAAGTTAAAAAGCTTTTGAACAAACAAAACCAATGCAACCAAGATTAGAAGAAAAACAGGAAGATAGGAAATAATCTTTAGGGCAAGTATCTCTGATAAAGCCCTAATTTCTCAGATATATAGAGAATTGAGCCAAATCTGCAAGAATACAAGCCATTCCCCAATTTATAAAAGGTCAAAGAACATAAATGGGCAGTTTTCAGATGAAAAAATCAAAGCTAATTATAGGCATATGAAGAAGTGTTCTAAATCACTTTTGATTAAAGATTTGATTAGAGAAATTTGATTAAAGAAATGCAAATTAAAACAACTCTGAGGTACCACTTCACACCTATAAGACTGGCTAATATGACAGAAAAGGAAAATGATAAATGCTGAAGAAGATGAGGGAAAATTGGGACACTAATGGTGTTGGTGGAGTTGTGAACTGATCCAACCATGCTGGAGAGCAAACTGGAACTATTTCTAAAGGGCAACCAAATTGTGCATACCCTTTGATCCAGCATTCATTTTACTAGGTCTGTATCCCAAAGAGATCATAAAAAAGGGGAAAGGACCTACATTGAAAAAAATTTATAGCAGTTCTTTTTGTGGTGGCAAAACATTGGAAACTGAGGGGATGCCCATCAATTAAGGAATGGCTGAACAAGCTATAGTATAGGAATGGAAAGGAATACTATTGTGCAATAAGAAATGATGAACAGGCAGATTTCAGAAAAATCTGGAAAGTCTTGTAAGAACTGATACAAAGTGAAATGAGCAGAACCAGGAAAACATTGTGTACTGCAACATTGTGTAATGGTCAACTGTGAAAGACTCAGCTCTTCTCAACAACACAATGATCCAAGACAAGTACAAAGGACTCAAGAAGGAAAATGTTATCCACATCTAGATAAAGAACTGATGGACTCTGAATGCAGATTAAAGCATATTTTTTTCTACTTTATTCTTTTTTGTGTTTTTTCCCCCTTTGATCTATTTCTTCTTGCACAATTGTGATCAATATGGAAATATGTTTTACATGATAGCATATACATATATACACACATATATACATATATATACATATATATATGTATATACGTATATATATATATATACATATATATATAAAACCTGTATCAAATTACCTACCATTTTCAGAAGAGGGGAGGTGAGAGAGGGAGGGAGAAAATTGGAACTCAAAATCTTGTAAAAATTGAATGCTAAAAATTGTCTTGACATGCAATTGGGAAAAAATAAAATATTATTTAAAAATTTTTAAAAGAAATTTCCTGGTGTTTTGTATAATCCATGGCATACCGTTCTTCATCATTACTGTAGATAATTGAGATTTCATCTTTGTATACTGTGGATAATTGAGATTCATCCATGTAGAAATTATTACACTTGGGGATTCCTTTATCTTTTCCTACAGGGAAAAAGAAGAGTTGTAATAGAATAGAGGACTTTCTATTCTATGAAAAGACCAGAACCTAGTGAAAACTTTGAAATGTAAACAAAGGAGGCAAGAGAAATTTTAAAAGGTAAATATATTTGAGAAATTGGAAATAGCAAAATGATAAAATGCTTATATCCTCATAGAATGAGAAAAGTGCTCCCATCAGAATCTAATTGTCAATGATTATAGATATAGGTAAATAATACAAATACAGCACCAGGATTTGGGTATTCTCAGTTTTGTTGGGTTTAAGAAAGGAAAGAAATGGACGTGGAAATGAGAGAGAGCAGTATAAGACAGAAAATGGAGTTGGAAAAGGAATAATAACAAACAAAACAAATCTTCATCTTGGATGGTTAATCATAAAGAAGGATTATAGAGTGTAAGAAATAGAAATTAAGGTTGGATTTTTTTGGGGAGGAAAGAGGCACAAAGGAGTAGGAACAGGTAATTTCAATTATATATTATTGATATTGTTCTAATTCCTTCTCTTTCTCCACCCCTTTCTTTTTGATGATGAAATGGTAGGTAGTGAAGAGGGAAAAGTATAAGAAATTGTGATAGAAGAAAATACACAATAAGTTAATGTAAATGGGATGAATTGACCCATAAAATAGAGGAATGTAGTAGAATGAATTAGAAAGAAGACTCCAATAATATGTTGTTTATGAAAAAGCATTTGCAACATAAATGTTCACAAAGTGTTAAATGAAAGCTGGGCCACAATTTATCATTCTTTAGGCAAATTTTTAAAAAGCAGGGGTAATAATCATGATCTCAGACAAGATCATAGGAAAAGAAGAATTAGTCTTAGTTAAAAAAGATAAGCAGGGAAACATGTTGTTTGTACTTCATTCTCAATGTGGAACAGTGACATCACCAATGACATCATCTTGACTTGCACACAAATTGGATTTAAGTGAGGCAGAGCTGTACAAAGTCATCAGCCTCACTCTGTCCTCCAGAGTCCAGCAGAAAAAAACTGTATTATACTTAAAGGCGCCATAGATAATCAAATAGTATCAATGCTTCATATATATGGATCAAATGGCATAGCCTTTGAGTTCTTTAAGGAAAAGTTTGTCAAATTACAGGAAGAAATAGTCAGTAAAAAACAAAATAATTGATCACCTCAATGTGCTCCCTTTTTAGACCTAAGCAAATCTTTAAAAATATAAATAATTTCCATAGTGAATATCAACACAAAATATTGAATGAGATATTTAAAAGGGGTGATTTTTTTAAAAAATGATACACTAACTAGATTGGATTTGCATCAAGAAATTATCTTAGAATCTTAGAAAGAAATCTTAGAAGACTTACACGAACTGATGCAGAATGAAATGAGCAGAACCAGGAGAACTATCTATAGAATAACCACATCAATGTAAATGTAAGAAATTTTGAGTGACTTAAGAACTCTGAACAATGCAGTGAATGACCAAATACAACTACAGAAGACTGATGGGGAAGTATGTCTCCTAAGTCATGGGAGATGATGAACTGTGGGTGTAAAATGAGACATGCTTTTTCAGGTATCGCCAATATACCACCAATTTGTTTTCCTCAACTATACTGATTTGTCACAAGGGTGCGGTGTTGGAAGAGCAGCAGAAATGTTGGAGGGATAGTAGAAGGCAATGACAGCAATGCCAAAAAAAAAAAGAAGAAGGAGAAGAAAGTAGAGTATCAATAAAGCTAAAAATACACAGAAAAGAATAGAAGTTCAGAAGATAACACAGACATGCAGAGCAAAGCAGTATTACTATATTAAATTGTTGTTGTTTGTCCTTTGTTCTCGAAGAGGACCATGATATCAGGAAGGTGATGCCGTGACTTGCAAGTGAATTGGATTTAAGTGAGGGAGGGCTGTGCAAAGTCAGCAGCCTCACTTTCTCCTCTGGAGCCATCTGGTTCCAATGGCAAGATATATATTAGGAAAACTGGAAATGGCCCCCACGTTAAATTATATGCATACATACAGTATGTATTTTTTTTTCAAACATGCATGCAATAGATTAATGACTTCAGATGTGATTTCTCTCTACTTCAATTTTGGAATTCAAATAGACATCAGACTTTAGTCTACCCCATACCTGAAAAAGCATCTGCTGCTGAATATACCAGACAAATAGTCATTCTGTCTTTGCTAAAAGACCTCATATAAAACAAATGATACTCCACCCTGAGGCAATCTATTCCAGTTCTGAACAGTCCTAATTGTTAGAAAGGATTTTTTTTCCCTTACAGTAAGCCTAAGTTTTCTTCTTTTCAACTTCCACTTTTTTCTCCTATTTCATCACCACTTAGGAAATGCAGCCACAAAGCCAAATTCTGACCTATTGTGAGAACAAATTGGGAGACATATTTAAACTATGACTGGTTAACTCAGTTGTCATTGGGTTGATCTCCATATGGACCACTTTTCATTGCTCTGCTCCATACTCAAGTTTGACTCCTTAATCTTGATAAAGGTGTGTTGAAGGTATGACCATTGGTCACTAAAAGAACCTCAGGCAGGTAAAAAAAAAATCTTAAACTATTGGAAAAAGGAATCAATGTTCTTTGAAAAAAATAAACTTTTGCCATTACCTTAAATTTACCTTGCAGCTATCTTGTATGAAAATTAACTCCCTCATTAGAATGTAAATTCCTTGAGGGTAGGAACCATGTTTTTGCCTCTGGCACAGTGCCTGGAAAATAGTTGATGTTTAATATATATTTGTTGACTCACTGTTTATTGACTTGACTCACTGTTCAATGAGTAAAACAATGTTATGTTGAATTCAAAGTGGATTGTTATTTATAAGAATTAATGTACATATAAAAATATAAGATGAATATTTCTTGAAATTTTATTGAGTTTTTTTGCATCCCATATGCTAACAAGGGGAAAGGAAACTGAAAAGTGACAGGTTTCCTCTCCCACCACTGCTCAAACAGAATAGAATGCTTCAGAAATCAGTTTCTCAGAGTAACTGTTCAATTTCTGTAATACATGTTTTTACGAAATGATGTTAGTCCAGATACACTGTAGGAAAAGAGTTTTACTATAAATTCATAATCCTATGGGCTAGAGTACTGGAAATCCATCTTATTGCTCTTCAGTGGGATGTTCATCTGATCCTCTTAGATTGTCTTTGAAAAACTTTTGCCAGACAACTGGAGTTGTCAAACATGTCCATTTAGTTTTCCAAAGTCATTCACAAGTGATCAATTTCAGTGTGTAGTTACCAACATGGGCAAGTCTGTACAGGGCAAATAAAACAGCTATTTCATCTATATCCAAATAAATACAGTTATTAGTAACTTGAGAACATATGGGCTTCAACTTGAAAGAACTCAGTCAAGTGTGCTATAATGAAAAGAACATTGGATGTGAAGTCAGAAGACCTGATTTCCAGCCCAAGCTCATCCACTTCCTAGTCACATGACCTTGGGCAAGGCATCCTCTCTGAGTATGAGCTTCCTCATCTGTGAAATAGAAAGAAACATATTATCTACTTTAGGGGTAATCATAAAGATCAAAGAGCTGGTGAGTTTCAGATCTCCTGAAAAGTATCAGATGTCATACCATTCAACAATCCTTTATCAAGCATCTACTATGGGGACTAGATGTGGATACAAAAGCAGAAACAAAAACAAGTCCTGTTCTCAACAGGCTGACATTCAACATTACTGTCTGATGTAACAACCCTCTATCCCAGAGAATAAAGAGCATCCTTTAGACCCTAATGGGCCCCATCTTTGGACTCAGCACCTAGTTCAGTCCTGTGGTTGCCTGGACCCAAAGGGAGTGGTGGAGATTTTTCTTGTTGCCTCTAGTTCATTACATTCCTACCCAGAACTCCAGGCAAAGTTTCTTAAAGCTTAGGTTTGGCTCATGGCTATCATATCCCCCAAAGGGATTAATAAACTTCCTTCAAATAATAATTAGTAATAGTAGCTAGAATTTATATGGCATTTTAAGATTTGGGGGGAAAAAACACTTTATGTATGTCATCTCATTTGATCCTCTATGAGATAGATACCACTGTTATTCCCATTTTACAGATGAGGAAACTAAGGTAGAAAGTGGTTAAGTAACTTGCTCAGGGTTACAACAGCTAGTAAGTATCTGAGACAGAATTCAAACTCTGGTATTCCTGAGTCCAAGCCCAGTGCTCTATCCACTATGCCCCCTAGCTGCCTAGAAAGGTACTCAATGTACAAAGTAGATCAGGTATCAGAGAGCTATTTATTTCAAAACTCCACCACAAAAGAAACGCTGAAAATACAAGATTCATATGCATGCATTGACAAACACTCAAAGCAGGAAAGAATAACCCACAACTTCTATTATACTTAAAACACTATAATGTGGCGCTGCTGAAGAAGAATTTACCTTCATCTCACCTTTGTACTGTCTAAGTAACTCATCCAAGGTACCTATCTTCTCCAAGCCATGGACATGTCATTGAATCACTCTGAGAAGTTCCTTTCAGAATGCAGAGGGAAGAAATAGTCATGATGCTAGAGAAAAGTTCCCAGCTAATGGCTTTGGGCAAAAGAATGGGTAGTGAAGAAAACGGTGACAGTGATAATGGTCATAATATTCAAGTTACCAAATGCAGAAGAGAAGAATAATCTACTAGTGGGCAGGAGGTAGAATGGGATTATAAAAAGGCAAAACAGAACTATTTGATGGGAGTGGGAGACAAGGAGGAGATATTAGCTGGGAAATAAATGTTGGCTTTTTTTTTTAACCTGCTCTCCATTCCCTCTCTCCAGTATTCTTTTTTTATTCTTTGCCTCTTTTTCCCTCTCAAACTCTACCTTTCCCTATTTCTTTCCCCTTTCCTTCATCTCTTTTTGTTCTCCCTCCCATTATTTTAAATCTCTTCCTCTCTCTTTCCTCTTACCACTTTTCCCCTTAATGACCAATAATATGGAACAAAAGAATTGGTTTTATTATTTCTTGTATTTGTCAAATAAAGCTTTATATTCCCTTTTGATGATAAAACTTTTTTAAATTATTTTTACTTATTTCATTAATATTTCTTATTTGCATGTAAAAAATTTCTTTTTTTGTTTGTTTGTTTGTTTTGGCAAGGCAATTGGGGTTAAGTAACTTGCCCAGGGTCACACAGCTAATGAGTATTATGTGTCTGAGGTCAGATTTGAATTCAGGTCCTCCTGACTCCAGGGCCACTCCAAGCTTCCCCCATGTAAAAAAATTTTAACAATCTTTTTTTTTTAATTCTGAGTTCCAAATTCTCTGCCTCTTTCCTATCCCTCCTCCCTTCTTGAGGAGACAAGCAACTTGATAGATGATAAAGCTTTATTCAATTTATACAAGAAATAATAAAAGCAATTCTTTAGTTCCATATAATCAGATGCAAATGAGTTGAACATTTAGTTTCTCTCTCTCAAGAAGAAGCACTTTAATACAATGATAAGAACATTTGGTTTCTCCTCTGGAGCCTAGACTCAAATCCCAGTTTGGACACCTGATACCTATGTGACTTTAGTTAAGTCATGTCATATTTCTGGGCCTACATTTCCCCATCTGAAAAATGAGAGGGTTGGACTGCATCAGAAGCATCAAATGCATGGCCCAGGGTCCACATGGAGCCCACCTCGCTGCTGAGTACAGCCTGAACCAGATTAAAATACAATTGGGGAAATAGTTAACAAAATGAATAAAAATACAATAAAACATTGATAATACTGCATTTTAAAACTAAGTCAATATGGGACCCACAGAGATCCTTATGTATGGATTAGTGGTCCCAATTTCTATTTGAGTTGACCCTACAGGACTAGTTGACCTCTGAGGTCCCTTTTAGCTCTAAGGCTATAAGAATATAATTAGGTGACCTCTTAGATCCTTGGGCCTCTAAATCCTATGATTGCCACTATCAAAAAACCCTGAAGTAGATTGCACTTTACTTTTAAGTGTTACTCATTGAATTTTCCTCTTTGGATTCAAGAGCCTCAATAGAAAATAGATTCTCTATCCTGGCACAGAACATCACTTGTGGATTTCCCCCATTCCATTCCTTTTCATTCAGAAATAGTTATTAAGTGCCTACTGCATTCAGAATACAGTGCTAGGCACTCCTAACAAATACAGCATCAATATTGTCATGTATTTACTATAAATAATAAAAATGTGAATAGGAATCATTTGGCTATTCCTTTTTGCATCTCATATTAAAGTTATAGCTAATTTTATGCCTCTTCTAGAAGAGTATCTTTTCCTTTATGTTCCCCAAACATTTTTTAAGCAAACCCGAAATATCTTTGATTCTTGATTTCATCCAAAAGGTCAGGAAATAGCAAGTAAACAATCTCAACTAAAATTTCAAGCCTAGGAATGCCCTGCACCTCTGGCTACCTATAGCACTTTTATTGAAGGTAAGAAAGATTAAAATGGTCTGGCAACTCTTGACAGAATGCGGATGTTCATGCACATACACGTTTTTGTTTTCTTTTGTTTTAATAAATGAGTATTAGCCTCTGTGGTAAATGTGTACCATGACTCTTTGATGGACTTGTCTAACAAACCAGCCAAAGCTAATTAATGATCACTCTGAGTTTGTGGGAAGAACCTCAAAATATTTATTTTGGAATTCTTCAAAACCTATAAAATGAAAATTATGGGTATGTAGCATGGTTCACTGGAAAGGGTGCTGGACTTTCAGTCAAATGACCCAAGTTCAAATGCTAACTCTAGCACTATCTGTGTGAACTTGGACCGACTACTTTACCTTTACCACTTTATGTCTGATCTTCATTGTCTTCATCTAGAAAATGAGGTGTTCAGACTAGATAACCTTTAAGGTTTATTCCAGCTCTAAACTTATGAGCATATGATCCTACAAAAGCTATCCGGGGAAGTTGGCTGGGGATTAAAGCTAAAGTAAAATTCATGAAGTTTAAGATTTCTCTCACCCACTGATTTTGAAGAGTACAGACATAGCTATCAAAACATAGAGAGAGGATTTTCTTTTGAAAGAACACCCACAAATGACAAACCATTAAAATGGCCTAAGCATTTCAAATAATAGGACCTATTTTTGCCTAGCTAATGTTCTTAGTCATAGACTATATCCATCCTTACTTCAGGGATGTGTGATTTCATCACAATCTTTTCTGCAATATAGTGAATGAGTACTTTAAAAAGTTGCTTTGGGGTAAAAAATTCTTACTTCTAATTCTGTAGTGATGAACTTTACACAAAGGATATTCTTTCACCAGACCCATAACCAAAGCCTTTACAGCTTGATAATCAGTCAACAAGCATTTATTGAGCACTCACTATGTGCCTTAAAGAGCTTGTGCTCCACTGGCATAAGCTTTAGGAACATAGAATCATTTCTAAAGCATGAGAAGACATCAGACTAAGACTTTGGTGGAGTAAAAAAAAACCAACTAAATAATGAATAATTATAATCACTAGTTATACTTACATATAACTCAGATTAAACCCATAGGTGCAAGTAAATCACATTCATCTGAAAAAAGTCTACATGACTCCATATTCAACACTCTATCCTTTATAACATATTCACTAAGTTGCAAAATCTTACTTATTCCTCCAACAAAAGATCGTTCTCATTTGTTCCTTTCTCTCCAGACGTAATCTTAGTTCAATTGTGACCACTCTTGTGCATGGTTGCATGAGACTACTGACAGGTCATGAGAGTTAATGATGCTAAGTAACTAGACCAGTGATTTCAATGGAGTCAGTGGTTGTGTTGAAAAAGACCAATTACTGAGTATTGAACTTGTTGTGAAGAAGGGAAAGTGAATTAGAAGTCTATATGAAAACAAGGATCCAGACAGGAATAAGTAAGATTTAAAGAAGGAAAGATGGCTTCTTCAAGATGGTAGGAAAAGGAAGGTGTGAAAGTGGCACGAGGAAGCAAGGCAGGCCTAATTCTTCCTCCTGACCTGTACGTCTGTGGCTGTGAGAGAAGGAGCAACCAGTATGAGAGAAGGTTCTGAGAGATGTGATGTCTTCAGGAGAAAGCTCAGTTTCAGGGAGAATCTGAAGATCAAAAAAGAACATGGGAGCAAAAGACCTAGGGTGAATGGGGATTTATTTTAAAATGAAGAAGGGTTCCAGAGGGCAGCAGAAATTAGAAGGTCCTGGATAGGGAAGAGAATGGTAGGGAGAGGTAGTGGAGAAAAAGAGGCTTTGAAAGCACAGAGGAGGCAAGCTGGCCCAACCGAGACAGGCTTATCTGATATTGTCATAGGGGTCAAAGGGTGGTCTACCCCATATGGGGTCATGACCCATAGTTTAAGAAGTGCTGGATACTACCCCATACTCCATTGACCTCTACCATCAATAACCTTGATCCCTCCTTATTTTCTCCCAGAGTGTTCTTCCCTCCACCCAACCCCAACTCCCGCAGGGATATGAGCTGAAGAAAGCCCATAAGATATGAGAAACAAGCAATACCATCTATGGACCACATCAGGGAGCAAGATGCAGCTCTCTAGGATTAAGACCTGACTGCCACATCCTAGTTGCAACTCTAATCTATCCTAAAAACATGCTCAGGTCTCCTCTATGCTAGGAAAAAAAATCCTTTTATTCTGTCATCTCCTTCAGCTATCTCTCCTACACTTCACTGATAAGCTTCTAGAAAAATTGAGTCTATTCAGTACAATTTTTTTTCTCATTTTCAATCACTTCCTAACCCCTTGCCAACTGGCTTCCAGTTTCACTTCTCTCCTCAAGCTGATCTCTAAAAATTACCTCTTAATTCTTAAACAAAATGGACTTGCCCCAATTTCTCATGCTCTTAGACTTTCATGAAGTATTTGACACTAGTGACTACCTCTCCTCCTACATATTCTCTTTCTTTTGCTTCTATAGCATTGGTCTCTGCAAATTTCCTTCCTTCTTATCTGACCAGTCTTCCTTCTCTCACTCACTATTTTGAATGACCCTGTAAGACTATGTCCTCTCTTCTCTTCCCTCTCCAAAGTCTCTCCATTGTGACCTTGTCCACTCCTAAGGCAGATGACTCCCACATCTAAATGTCCCTGTAATTCCTGCCTCCCCAAATCTAAATGTCCATATAATCTCTCCTCTGGGCTCCAGTTCCGCATCTTTAATAACCTGCTGGACATCTCCACCCAGATTTTACAACAGCACTGATATTCAACACGTGCAAAATCGAAAGCTTCCTTCCATAAACTGAGCCTTCTTCTCAATTTTGCTGGGTCTGTTAATGATATTACCAACTTCCTAAGCATCTAGTCTCAAAAATGCTGTCATCTTTGACTCTTCCTTCTCCCTCAGGATTTACCTTCAATCAGTTGCCAAGTTAACTCAATTGTAATATCTCTCCTATATGAAACCTCTTCTGTACTCAAGCTACCATCATTGCTCTAGTTTGAACATAGTTGCATGAATTCCAACTGCATCTCTGATCATTTGGTCTTCCCTTCTGAGTACTACATTTTAGGAAGGGTATTGAAAATCTAGAAAATATCCAGAAGAAAATCAGGATGGTGAATGGTTCATGCCATATAAAGATAATCTGAAAAAAAAGTGATGGTGTTAGGCCCAGAAATGAGAACACTCAGAGGAGACATGAAGTTGTCTTAAGGTATTTGAAGGACTGCCACCTAAAAGAGATATTAGACCTGACCTGCTTGACTCCAAAAGACAAACCTAGAATAGGGAAATAACAGGGAAGTAAACTTGAGCTTAATATAAGGCCAAACTTCCTAACAATCAGAGTTATCAAAAAATGGAATGGGCTGCCAGAAGCAGTGAGTACCCATCAACCAAGGTCCTTATGTCCAAAGAATACTTTTTATGTATAAAGTGGACTAGATGGCTTCTGTTGTACATTCTAACTTTGAAATTTTATATGTAACTTATTCTTCCTGCAAGGCTCAGGCCAGACGCCACCTTTTCTATGATCTTGCCTAATCCCCAGCTGAGACTGATTCCCACCTCCTCAAATTGTCCTAGAGTACTTGGTCTGAATTTTTCCTTTTACGTTCCTATCACATTCTACCATATTGGAGTGCTATTATACTCCATCCCCAATTGGATTATAAACTTCCTGTCATTAGGAACTGTTATTTTTCATCACTTTGTCTCCAGCACCTAGCACAATGCTTTGCATATGGTAGGCACTTAATAAATGTTTCTTGAATTTTAAATTTCTAATTCAGAAACCCCTTACAGATTTGTGTTGGAAGAAGGGCCTATATCACTGAAATAAAACAGACTTGGAAGAGTAAGTATGGATGTTTGACAACCAGGATGAGAACTAAACAAAAAAGCAAAGCAGATGAAATCTGTTGCTCATGTCTACTCCTTCCACTCTCCTCTGCCTTTGACCTCCCCTGCCAGAAGATGCCTAGGACTGAAATGTTGATAGCAAACCAGGGTGCTCTGCTCCAGCCTGGCCTCACCAGGCAGTACACTGTCTTCCTAACCTGCCACCCCATCTACCCTCTTCAAAACTGACCTGTCCTTTCTCCTACTTCCTTAATCTCTACTTTCTTTTTTAACTTCTGTTTTATTTTACTGTTGTAGAGTCTGGCACATCGTAAGCACTTAATAATGCTTGTTACCTTCCTTCTTTCCTTTTCAATGACTGAACATCAATTTCCTCTTGCTCCTACTTCCTTACATTGAAAAGAAAAAGCAGGAGGAGGATAAAGAGGAGGAGGAAAAGGAGGAGGAGAAGGAGAAGGAGAAGAAGAAGAAGGACACAACCCTTGAAACAAATATACCTAAACAAGCAAAACAAATTCCATCATTGGCCATGACAAAAAAAAAAAGGAAGGTCCCTTTTTGCATCTTGAATACATCACCTCTCTGTCAAGAGGTGGGTAGGATGCTTCATCAACAGTCATCCAGAATTAACAGTTGGCCATTGCATTGATCAGCATAATTCCTACTTTCTCAAGGAACTAAAACAATGTTTGTCAATTGATTATTAACTAGATGTGTGGCTTAGACAAGTTACTTGTCTTCTCTAGGCCTCCATTTTCCTAACTATAAAATAAAAGAGGAATGAATAAAGGAAAATCTCTAAGGTACCTCCATATTCTGCTGTCCTGGAACTTTAAGTGTCAGTTAGCTAGCCTGATAAATTATTCTATCCTAAGGTATTAATAGGTGCTAATGGGTTCATGTATTATGCATCCCAGGCAACATATCTGTATTTTAACATAGTACTTCTGTGGACAATACCTCAACTCAAAGAAATGAGTAAGGATAGGAATTTCAAGTAGGTTAGATTATGTAGAGGGTACCCCTCAAAATATGTCATGATAATGGCTATTTATTCTTGTTCAGGTCAGCCCAGGACACAGCCATATGGCTGTACTGCTCCACCTTAGTTTCAGACTAGTAGACCTAATGAAAAATGTTTAACACAAGATAACTATGAGCAAATTTATTTTATTAATATCTGTCATGGTTCTAGAACTAAGCACTGAAGATATTAGTACCTTCCCCAAAGGCCCAGCCCAAATGCCACTTGATGCAGGAAATCTTCTCTGGTCCACCCCAGCTAAACCTAAGATAATCATTCCACCTAAACACTAGCATGGTGTAGAGGAAAGAGCATTGAATTTTGAATCAGAGAAACTAGATTCAAATCCTGTCTCTGCTACTTACTGCCTATGTGACCCTAGGCAAGCCACTTTACATCTGGAACTCTACTCATCTATACATGAGGGGGTTGAACCTAGTGATTTCTATGGTCCCTCCAAACTTTAAATCACATAATGTATAACACTTTGTATTTCTCATGCATTCATTACATTCTCTTCATATTACAATCATGTGGGGGTTTTTTTTGTTTCTTTCCCTCAGTCCTTATGTTAACCTAGGACCTTAGCTCCCTGTGTTAACATATGACCTTACACACAGCTTTGGTATTTTGAAAGGTCTGTGATTTCATTATTGGGAATACTCCTTCCACTTGCTCAAATCATAACCCCTCCAAGTCTTCATAGAATCTTTATGAATTACTGCGGCCAAAAAAAATCATTACCTGGTAGCCAACCTTCTGGAGATGAGACTTTCCAAATTTAGCTATGCTGTTCCTAAGGTGACAGACGTACAATATGTTGCTGGGGCATATTCAGAACCTTGGTAGAAACTGTCAGAGCTTGTGTTCATCTGGCACTGGCTTCAAGCACCTAGCTAGGGTCACCGCCACTATCAAGACATGGCATCAGACATTAGTGGACATCTCACATGTGCTAGGCTTTAAATAAACACTCCTTGAATTTGAATTTTGTAGAATTGGAGATTACAGAGCAACTGAGAGGTGCAAGGCAGAGAGCATTGGACACATATAGTCGGACACATGCCAGCTGCCTGACCCTGGACAAATCACCAAACCTCTCATTCTCAGTTTGCTTATGTGTAAAATGAAGATGGTAATTCTGTCATCTACCTTTAAGAGTTGCGCTTTTGCTGATCTTAAAGCACTATATAAATGTTAACTATCATTATTATTATTATTATTATTATTGTTATTACAGCTAGAATGGACTTCAGAAATCATTTAGACTTATTCCCTCAATTTACACATGAAGGCTACTGAGGCCGCTAGAGGAAAAGTAACTTACTCAAGGCCACAAAGTCAGGCCTTGAAACTCCAAATTCAGTAAGCTTTCCACCATGTCACACTGGCCCTAATTGGAAAGGAGGCTTTTCCAACCCATGTATACTAAGAGCTGACCTCAGGGCAACCCAAGGGAAATCACCATCCTTATGACTAAACTATACTATTTCTTTAAGGTACACTATTCTGACGGTCCCTGAAACATGGCAGCTCAGGTTACCAACCAATCTGCTAAGGCTCTTGGTTGGTCTCCATATATTCAATAGAAAAGATGGCAAGGCTAGAGAAGGATAGTTTGAGTTTATTATTTCCTTGACCAGTTGGTCATAAAAGAGTTTCCAATGCTAGTCAACTGACCTATTTACCCTCACATAGCCCAGGAAGCACGCAAAATCACAGGTCAAAGCCCAAGTGAGTAGCTAATTTGGCTAAAAAAGCCACATTGTTTTCTAATGCATTCCCCTATTGAAATAACTTGTCGCCATAAAAAATAAGTATCTACAGGACAGAAATCTTGAACAACAGTAATAGCAGCAAAATATTCTGCTTTTCTTTTTTACTAACTTGGTGTTAACTTAATGAAATGTGACATTGCTCTCAGTGCAATGCAATAAAAATGAAATGGTGCCCAATGTGCAAAGACACTGTGGAAATTTCAAATGACAATAGCAACAACAAAAATTGTATGTTTCTCTTTCCATTTCTTATGCCCTTTGAATTAACTTAAGAGTATGTGACTTTGCTATTCATGCATTGCAATGAAAATGAAATTGGTTGCCAATGTGCCTAGACGGAGACTTCAGAAACAACTAAAATGAAATTAGGTTTCTTTGCATCATGTAAAAGGTACATAACTTGGGCCCTAGTTTACCTTGCTCCTACATCAAAAGCTGTATAAAATGCAATCACCATCTGACTCACGGGAGTAGCATGTACAGAGTCAGAGTGTGAGAAGTGGAAGGGGCCTTCGAGATCATCTAATAAAATCCTCCCTCATTTGACAGGAGGTGAAACAGAGGCCCACAGAGGGGAAATGGTATATTTACAAACCATACTGCATGCTTTTTAAAATTACAGTTCTTTTCACATTTTAAACCTTAAAATCCATTTCAAAAACAGATTTTTTGCCATTAAATTCATATTGTGTTTTTCCATTCTTTTAAGTGGAATATATTTTTGGTAACATGTTTGTTTCTAATGTTACTCATATAAACAAAAGAATTCAGTCCTTTGGGGGATTAATAGACAGACATCTGCATACAACATTTCTCTCATTAGATATTATTATATTGATGTATTTTTCCAATTTTTAAATCTTTGCTACAAAATAAAACAAGCCCGTTTTTGCCCCCTCTCAAGTTACCTGTAATTTATTTTCCCAACAATATAAATCACCTAATGATCCTATTGCCTTCCAATTGCTAGAAGAAAATAGACCTAAGAAACAAAATCAGTATCTTCAAAATGAAGGTGGAAGTTATTGTTGAACTAGCACACCGGTTACTATTTATACCATGAACATGACTTCTCACCAGAAGATTAAAAATTGTACTGTTGAAAATTGCAGGTGAGATTGTCAATGGAAGCCTTTTTTGCAATCCTTTTCCTAAACTGAGTGCTAAATCAGATGAGTAGCCACTGGGAAAACAAACCATAAACTAATCAACCATTCTAAATAGTCAAGTTGCTTATTTAGAGAGCATATCACCATCCTGTCAGAAAGTCCTACCTCATTAGCTAATCATTACAAAATACAGCATGAAGTAAGGACTGTTGGCAATAAGAGCTTTCGATCACATTGTCACAATAAGAAAATTATCATTAAGGGTCATCTTCAAGCATGCAGGACAATAATATAATGAATCTTTTAATATGCATCAAGCATTTGCAAAGTGTATTTTGCCTGTGTTGACATTTTTATTCTCAACCAAGAGAGGTGTTTACTTAACAGATGGATTCCTACCTGACATGACATTGTTGGCTCATGAAAACAGTGTTTAAATGAACAAAGTGATAAATTATAATCATGTTTAATCTTTTGATCCCATGGTTAATTTAAACAGCCTTTTGATGTGCTAAGGGTCTGTAATGTAGATCCTGGAATCAGTTAAGTCAGAAAAGAACTAGATTGTCAACAGATGTGTCAATACATACAACCTGCTAATTAGTAAACTACTTTTAAGGTATTCTCAAGATCTGTTGCAATCTTCAGAAATTACATCCTCAGGAGAATTCAGATTTCTTATTGAATGTGCCAGTTGATTCATTACTTTATACTGTGGAAGCTAAAATTCATTCTGAATGTTGCTGATGGACATTGGTGGTTCATAAAAGTTAGACGAGGTGGGCATTCAGAAGATGAGCAGGGGGTCCGCCACTACATGGCTATGAGGTCTTGGCCAAGTCATTTTAACTCTCCCTACCTTTGTATCTTAATCTGTAAAATTAAGGGGCTTGGGTTAGAGGATCCCAAGGTCTTTTACAACTCTAACATTCTTTGAAGCTATACGGTACAGTTAATTGTTGGGCAGCAGACTGGTGTTGAATATTAACCTGAAGGTCTGGATAATATTCAATGAGAAACAAAATAAAAGAATCTCCCTCAACACACTCATTCTTGAAATGGGGAGAGTTTAATTTACCAAGTCAATCATGCAATATACATGAAATGTTGGGCATTCAGCCTGTTGTTGAGCATTAGCTAGAAAATATGTGTTTGTACAATTACATATACACATACATAGAATAGACTAAAAATTCATGTACTCACACACAATTTTATTTTGCCCAATAATTCCATTCATATAAAAGATTTAGGAGAGAATGAAAGAGCATTTCTCCATTTTAAAAATTCTTCAACAACCCAGCAATAGAATGAGTTTTAATCCAAAATTTACTTTCCTTGCAAGGGTGTCTTCTGTGGCTCACTGGAGTCTTTCTGTTTGGATATAAATTATTTGAAATCATAGCTACAGTGATTTAAATAATCTGCTAAAAAAAAAAGCTATTAAGTTTCCCTAATGCTAGCCATTTTTAAATGACTCTTGGCTTGATTCACAAACAATGCATGATCAGCACAGGATTCATGTGACCAATCAGTAAAAATGCAATTTTATTAAGAACCTCAGCTGTAAAAGAATATCAAGTTAAGTCAAATCCGTGTGTCTTGTAGCCTTTAAAATAATTTTTTTAATAGTCATGCCTCGGGGGTCAGCTTTTCATAGACTAAAATGGGCAAGGGCCTCAGCATTTCTACAGAAGATCAAGGAGCTAAAATATTATGGAGCTCATTCTGGTGATCCCACTACTGTTAATGCACATGCCTTTGACATTCAGTAATGAGTTAGTATTATCAAAATCCCTAATTCTATTAAAAATATTTATCTGAAAAAATTATGTGATCTAAAATAAATACAAAATCTTTTTTTAAAGGGAATTTACATATATGATTTGTGGGGCCCATAGTGCTGAATAGTAAATAAATCTTAGAATCTCTCTTCTTTATATGTGTTGCTATTGTAATTTGTTACATATAGGCTTATCTAGTGCATACATGTACATGTTGCTTCTAAGAGTTAGGGGAGAGTGTGGCATCATTAAATTACAAACACTGATGTCTGCAGAAGGAAACAAAATCAGGATGATAGATACAGAGCTAGAAGGAACTTTAGAAATTACTGAGGCCAGCCCTCTTGTTTTACAGAAGAAGAGACTGAGGCCAAGAGAGGCTAAGTGACTTACCCAGAGACATACATCCAGTAAGTGTTTGAGACAGGATTTGAACATGTCTTCCTGACTCCATAGTCCAGAGTTCTCTCAAAACTAGCATCAGATCATTACTGTCGATGCAAAACCTTTATTCATTTGAACAAAAAAGTCGTGGCTCCATATTTATGGGTATGCATAGTGCCAGTGTACCAGACCACCTGGTCCATGCTCCCCTTCACACCTATGATAATTAAAGAATCAGGAAGTGCATAGCTACAGCTCCTTTCAAACAGGATATTGCCCTGTTGCATTAGGGATCCGGGTTCAGTCAATATCTTCATGTAATGACAGATTAAATGAGACCCTCTATCTTGATTTTAGTTAACAAATTCTTATTCTTCATGAGAGAACTATAAGCAAACCCAATTCCTGAATGTATTAATTTTTTATCACTCCTGAAGACACCAGCTTCTGTTTGGACTTCAGCTTTAACATATCCTTCTCAGGCATCAGAGAATAGTTCTAAAATGTTTGATCTATTTTCAAGTGTTTGCTGAAAAATCAAATACTTGCAGTCCAGTCAAATCTTAATCATCCAGTCAGCCCTGGGGACAAATTGTGAAGTAGATGAAGCTTGTCTTTAGAGCTCTCCTATCTTCCCCCATCAATGCCCCTTTCCCCCTGGCACCCTAGACAAATACTCTTGTCCCAGGTGCAGATCCTGGTAGCTATTCTTCTTCATCTCTGCTAAACTGTTAACAGGTGACTGAAGCATTACTTAGGGTGGTGGGAGGGGATGCATTTAGTAGAGGACTCTTGCAGAGCAAAAGCTTTCAAGACTTAGAAAAATTAAAGTTATAATGGTAAACTGAGAGCCAGTGGAATTTGGCTAATATTTGGAGAAAGAAGGACCTGCCCAAAATACCCAAAATATCTAAATAGTCAAATGGAAACACTGGCACCGAAATCCGCAAATGGAGACTAGGAAGAATATTTGCATTTGGCTTTGGAATGCACTTCATACTTACATTTTGGTATGGATTTGTCTGGCAGCTGTGAATTCACGATGCTGTAAATGAAATAATGAAGCCATACTATGAAGGCCCACTTGGGAGGCTTGAGAAAGCTGTTGGGATTTCTTCTTCTATCCCTCTACTCATGTCCGCCCTGCTTAGTCAACAGAGGTTTGAGAGAAATGCAAGTGTTCAATCATAGTCCTTTGCCAATATGAGCTTAAAGATTTATCAGGTAAGTCACAAGAAAGCAGTACAGCATATGAGGCGAAGAGGTAGTGTAATATTATATACATATACATATATATGTAATATTTTTTTAAACCACCAACCTGGAGTCAGAGGAGTCTAGGTTCAATTCTCAGCTACTCCTCTGATGACCTGAATGACTCTGGGCAGGTCACTTAACTGAGTTCCAGTTCCTTCACCTATAAAATAGAGACGATAACACCTGCACCACCAATTTTGTGGGGTTGCTAGTGAAGTTTCAGTGATAGAGTGGATATAAAATTTATCTGTTGGGACTGTAAGATATTATATAAATAATAAATTTCCTAGTGAATTTCTAATACTTTTTTCTAATCATACTTAATTTAATAATGTGACAATCATGGATATGTTATCTAAAACCATAAGCATTATTTCTTTTTGTGGCATAAAGATGGGGGATTAGGTAGTTTTGTGTCAACACTCCTTATGTCTTCTGTAAAAATATTTTCAAGTGGTGATATTTAAACTTATGAGCAAAACTTCAAACAAGACCACAATAACATTATTTATTAATGTATATATGACAGGGTTGTGCCAAAATAGAGTTGTGAATAGGTCATATGGAACATATTAAGTTGTTAACTTATTGTCACAGTAGGCAAGATGAACTATACTAATATCTCAATAAATGGCTTCTTCAAAGGCCAATGTTGTACAAGATTACTAATCTTGTCATTGCTACAGGCTTGTACAAGATTTGTGAATAAGTGTGGATCAAAATGTAGCCATGGTAGTCACCAGGAGAGATAAAACAACAGAATAATATGTGGGGAAAGCTTACTGGTATCAGATTGCTCAGGTGCTGTCAAGATCTGTAATGAGAAATGAAATCCTTCAATAAAGTTCAAATTGATTGGACTTGTTGACACATTTAGTTAACATGAAGAGGGTTTACTCCCTTCCACAGTGGTAGCTGAAGGGTTTTTTGGAGAAATTTTATTGTTTATCTAAAATTCTCCTATTCAACAACTTATCTGAGTCCTCAACCTTTCCTGAAGAAAGAGTTAACTGAAGGTTGTGTTTACCCTAAATGAAGTAGAAAATTAAAACATAGTTGTAAGAGAGAAATATGGTTGTATAAATACATAGAGAGTTGTAAGAGAGGGGAGCAATGAAGGAACCTGCTATTGAGGGGAAAGATGGGGTTGGAAGGGCAGGTTGTCAATGAAATATGTCTTCCTTTTTAAGGTTTTTGGACTTCCTTGAATTACTTTGGGAGTTACATGAATCAGCCAGTGCAAATACTTTTGTGGATCAAATTCACCCAATGCATATAATTCTACATTTCACTTTGTTGGCATATATACAGCTACCACCACTAGTGGCATATCTTACTCTGGAAAAGGATGCTATCTTCAGAGTCGAGTTAATCAGCCCTATAGGAGGAGGAACAAGGTATCAGGATACATAAAACATCTTACTAGATAATCCTCTTTGGAATCCACAGTTGAGCTATTAAGTATTCCTTTCACTAATCTCTGTAATCCTCACTTGATATAGGTCAGTAAAACAGTGACTAATGCTCACATGACAAAACGAAGCTAGACTTCTCATTAATTCTTTTTTTTTTTTCCCAGTGATATCTCTCTTAATTCTGTTCTCTTACTGAAGCACACCCACACTTCAGGTGAAACCCTGGACTTATCCAATGTGTAGGCCCCAGGGCAACTCCTCCCTCATGACAGTCATGGCTAAGACCCTGTAATTTCACATCACTACATTAGGCAAGAGCCAAGATTCAGATTTCACACTGTCTGATTACCAATATTACATTAGCTCACTAGTGGTTTCAGTCACTGTATCAACTATTTGGTATTAAATCTTTAGAAGCAATGAAAGTTAACAATGCTGTTTTTATGTTGTGCAAAAAAAAAATCATTCAGACTGTTTTCCCTTTTTGATTACAGTTCATTTAAGGGAAAAATGTTGCTGTATGGTTTGACAATGTTTTATGTGTCTTTGGCTGACAGAACACACAAAATGTTTGAATAGGCCCATTTATTTGAGCAGACATATTAAATAATACTTTAAATGTGAACATGCATGTCATAAATTTTGTAGTCTCTTTAAAGTAGGATAAATCTGTGTATTTAAAATAGTCTTTGTTCAAAGTCATTTTTTTTTCAAACAGTCATAAAGGGACTCTGATTTGTGCTGCATGAACAATGCCAGCATCATCATTTTAATGTTATCCATATGGGCTTCTAATAATAGATAAGAGACTACATTTGTATTGTATGTCTTAGAGACATTTAAAATCTTGATAAGGAAAGGCTGATTTCATTGGCCCCACAGTTAAAGGAAAGCAGACCCTAATTAAAAGAATTCTGTTCTGAATTAACTAGTTTGACATGTGCTAATTGACAGTTCCTGTGAAATGGTTCTAATTAAAGTCAATATGTCTTTTTCAATTAAAAGGAAATTAAGAATATACTAATATACATTAACAACTTAATCTGCCTTCAATATCCCATACATCAGCTGCTTTTTTTTTTCTAATGTTATTGGAGAACCATCTGACATGAATCTTCCACTGTTTGCTTATGGTATCTCATTATTACTTCACATGAACACAGCAGTGTTGTACGTCCCCTTGAGCAAGAAGATAACCTGCATATGCATGCTTTAATTTGCAGAGCTTCCAAACTCTTAGTTCATTAAAGATAAACCCACCTTTTTTGCAGGAAAAAAATAGGGACATTTCTTAATAAGAGGATATCCTTGCTAATTGCAAGCAAAAGCAAGTGTTCTCAATTAGCCAGGGCTTTTTACTAGGGGCCTTCAAGGTAATTGCACACTCCTGGAAAGGAGGCTGGACTATGTTTGCATCATTTAGCCCAAGTAAAGGCAAAACTGGGTTTGAGCAATGTGCAACTGGAAACATATTTCTAATCATGTTCTGTTTCCCAAGTGAAACTTTAGGGGAGATCTCAGGTGGGAATGTTTTTCTTTGTATATACAACAGGAAAGTAGACAGCATGATTGCTCGAGATGCCAGCCCTGGAAGAAGGCCCATCATTGTCGATGAGAACATGGCATTAGAGTGGCTGTTTATAGCAACATAATTAAGTATTCAAATTTACATTTCCAAAGCTATGGTGTTAGCAATTTTAATGATAGAGAAAGCAATATTAAACTCGGGCATCAATACTAATGTACAGAGCACTAACATCATATGGAGAACTATGGAAAAGATTAAAACTATTTGTTTTTAGTAGATCATTATAATTTAGGCATTTTAATTATAACGAATAAACAAAGATTTTTAAAGAAAGTTTTTAAGCCATCAAGATGCTATTTAATAACAGCTTTTTTCATATAGCTATAGTTAATATTTTGACAGGAGTTTCATTATAAACCCCGATTTCCAGAGGTTTATAATTCAACCATAAAATTTGACTGTTTATACAAAGAGAGAATTGTTTTACTTAATTTCACCAAAATTGGATTGTTGGGTCTTAACATCTATCAGGAAAGAAGGAAAAGTCATTTAAGGTTTCTTCCACTTATGCTTATGATTTGAATTTTAAAAGGATAAAATTTGTAACCCCACCTGTGGAATTTTAAATGTACATGTATTATGCACAGAGTAGCCATATTGGAATGAACTCCAGGAACTACCTTTTGCAAGAAGGCATTTCAAATGAACCTTACTATACTTTCCGGAGTGGTCATCAAGAACCTTAATGAAAAACATTTTCATCCAGTCTCTAAAAAGAGAGTATACTCTAATGCATTTCCAGAATGAATAAATGCATATTAACCATTCTTTGAAAAAAAAATCACCTCTTCTTCAAATTCCCAACATGATCAGTGCCTCTAGCCAAAATGTTGTGCTGTTCATTGCCATGTGGAGCCTCCGGTTTGGTTTCCAATCCTAGGCTCTTGCTCCTCAGGCTGGCATAGACTGGAAGTGCTGCAGTCACAGCATGTACTCAGCTTTTTGAAATGGGAGAGAATCCAATGCAATAACTTTTGGGGCCAATTCAAAGATCATTGTCTACAACAGAACTACATGACACACGCCTGCAGGCTGCACACAGCCCAGGGAGCAGTTATCCGTGATCCACCCTCAGCAGATTTGGGGAGGACAAGAGGGCAGAATGAAAGCCAATGTGCCACCCAGGAGGTTGTCCTGCAAAATCTTCCCCTTCAATTTGCATTCATAGTAATATCCAAGGGATCCACAAGAACTGCTGACTGGAAAACAGATCTTTACCCTAGCTTGAGGTATCCATAATGCTCCCCAACCCTACCCAGTGCATGGGTCCCCCAAGGGCAGAGACTACGTGTAAACACAACTTTGTTAACTTCACTGGGCTTAGCTCATTGTCAAATGTGCCCCAATCAACAGTCAATAATAATCAACAGATCTCATAGTTTATGGGTTTTCCCAAGAGCTTATTTTCACCTTCCTCACTCACCCTTTTCACTCATCTATAAGAGTCAAGCAAGCCAAGCTCACGTTCATGAGCCCTGCCCCTTGACTCCAGACCCAAGAGAAGCAAAGCATTCAGAGACGGCAAGGAACGTAGATAACCAGAGGACAAGGTATAATTTTGTTCTGTACACTTCAAGCCAAAAGTGGTAAATAATTTTAAGGGATCCCATTATTGTGTCAATTTTTTTTAACTTGGTCTAAGGTACTTGAAAATCAAGAAGGGGATGTAGCAGGGTGGGAAGAATCCTGAACTTGGAGTTATAAGACCCAAGCCCATATCCCAGATCTGGCCCCTTGCTATCTTTGTGAAATTCACTTAACCTCTCTAGGCCTCAGCTTCCTCATCTGTGAAAAGAAGGGGGTTGGATTAGATGGTCTCCAAATTCAGGGATGTGCTTGGGAAGTCAGATCTCTCCTGACTATCTATGAAACATGCTGCCCTC